GCCTTTTATTATTATATTTTTTGACGTCATTCTCAATTGATGGCTAGTTTCTTTGCAAGGGCCTTGGTTTGGTTTGAAGAAAAAGTAACTTGTTATTGCAATTGGGAGCGTTTAGGCAGCTGGGTATGCATTGGCGATTTCTAGAGAGAGAAATGATAGTGCTTTTTGGGGCCTTCGGTTATTTCCGATTAAGGTGTATTCTTCTCTTGAATTGTTATTTACTGACTAGGTTAGTCTTCGGGTTCCCTTTATTTCTTGTAATGGCAGATTCAGAATAGAGCTCTAACATGAAACTTACTACTAGTCTTTTGAATAAACTTAATTATATTGTTTGGTCGAAAGTTGTTTCCCATTCTATCTTTGGAAAATCTAAAGTTGGACACATAACTAGGAAGAAAATAAAAAATCTTGATTTCAAAACTTCCCAAATAAAGTGTTGAGAAATCTGCTCTGGTTACCAATAATGAGAAATATGAAACAAAAAGGCCTCAAAATAGTAATGGAGGTAGAGGCTCTAACAATTATTGTGATAGTGGAAGGGGTCGTAGTAATAGAGAGCATCATAGATGTGACCACTGCAATAATATAGGACATGTGAAAGAAATGTGTTGGTATTATATCCACGCTTAAGGCTCATTAATGATAAGACATCTGACAGATCTATCGCTTATATTGTAGCTACTCAAACTCATCAATACAACTATGACCATTCTCAGTAATCAATTAACAACAATGGTTTTTCCTCCATACAGGATCTTTTTTCTTTATTACCCGACACATATAACCCTTATGCGTCTATATGTTCTAGTGACACTTTGCCTTGGATAATAGACTCAGAGGCTACAAATCATATGACTGCTAACTTATATTATCTATCCATCCTAAAAAATAATGAAAATATCAACCATGTGTCTATTACTTAATGGTTCATTGATTCCTGTACAAGGTGTTGGTAAGATTAAGTTCTTTTCTAAGTCTCGTACTCTGAAGTTATGTTTACGTCATCATTTTTCTCTAATTTGATGTCTATTGGTAGAATTATTCAGAGCATGAATTATAATGTTATTTTTTCCCCCAGCTCTGTGTTTTCCAGGACCTGTCCATGGCGAGGAATATTAGTGAAGGAAGACTATCTCATGGC